AGACCTAACCAGCCTCACCCCCCTCGCATGACAAAGTCATAACTCTATGTACACAACCCCAGGTAACCCTTGCTGTATTGTGGCGTCCAGGTGGTAACAATGGCGTGTTCTGTTGCAGGTATCGGGCCCTCTCCAGTTACAAACAGACCAGCACCTGAGACCGAGACAAGGCCATCAGGAGAAGGGAACGAAGATCGATCTGGTGGTACAAACTCTGAGAACAAGCTGCAGCCGTCCGCACGGATGAGTGCAGGGGTGAGTTATGATAGAACACGAGACATATAAAATGGTGGTTAGCTCAAGTTTTACCTTAGTACGTGTACTGGTACAGTGCAAATTCTGGTACAAAATTTGTAAATTGTACTAAATGTTTTATGGACAGTCATGTAAAAATGACAAATAGACAAAAGTTGTCTAAAAATGAAGGGTCAAATCTGTAGCCATACTATTATACTAAGCTGTGCCTCAGGATTTGCGGAGTTCCCAGTGGATACTTGCCCACTCTCGAGTGCAGGAGGAGGGAGGCATCACTGAGAGAGCTAAAACGGATTCTACAAGACCCCACCAACCCCTGCAATGACTTTATCCCACCAAGAGAGAACACTGTATATAATCTTAGGAAGAACAGCAATCAGTTTAAGCTCCCATTAAGCCGATCGGACAGACACAAAAACTCCTTCATTGTGAGAGCCGTAAAAGACTTGTGATGTGTATTAGACATGTATATATATATTGTATTTTAAAGTGAAATTGTACTATTTTAACCTACGTGTTCTTGATGTTGATTTTTAAATGATGATGATGTTTTTAATCTATTGTGATGATGTTTGTAAAATGTCAATGCAATTCAGATGTGCCCGAAGTACTCGGCACGCCTGCAATGTTGATATTCAATAAAGATTTGATTTGATTAAAGATTTGATTCTGGGAAGCCATTCTGGAAGGTAGTCCTTGAAAGTGAGTTAAAGTGAGTAAAGTGCAGAAGAGTGCATGGTATTACCAGGATTACATGTAATAAGGTCAGTGGAAACAACTATAATGGTTGGAATACTGGTGATTATGGAGCATCTGTAAGCTATTAGTTAGGAGGGAGGCCGAATTGTATGCAATCAAATGACTTCAGTGCTATTGCAGTCATAATAGTTTCCAGGTCATTAATTGAACTTTATGACAATAATCATTACCAGTTAGATATTTTATGGCAAGAAAACTCATTCTCATAGAATAGTCCAAGAGCAACAGGAGCCCATTTGTGGACCCTTAATGATGTGTACATGCCCGAGGATATCCCTGTAAGCCCTGTAATGTTACAGGCAAGATAAGCCTTTTAAGCACTCACAAATTTGGTCACAATTTCATGTCAAAGTCTTAACATTCCCATCTAAGTCTCAAGAGGCTACCAAATTTCAAAGTGACTTCGCAGAAGCCTTTCTTTTAGTCTTAATTTTTTAAGATGTTTTACCTGCAATTGAGGAAAAATTGTCTGTAAAAAAATGGGAAACACTTCTCCAGAGAAACATGTTTTTCCAGACTACCTATGATGTGTAGCCATGCTTTGTCAATTTGGGATTGGAAATAATAGCAAGCACATATACTCAAACAGCTTTCATATTGTTGTGTGTTGTATAATGCAACAAAGAAGTTCAAGTGAAAACTTGATAACAGCTGTCCTATTTTGGAGTCGTCAAGCTATCAGGATAGTCAGCACTTTTGTTGAGTTTCATGAATGGTGATTCATAAAACAGCCCTGGGTTTGTTAGGCCAACATCAAGCCTGGAAAATTGCTGGTATCCATCTCTTTCCCCTACAATCACCAGTTTGCCAGCAAATTGTAGGTTGCTGGTGGGCTTTTAGTGTCCTGGGGAAAGATTATTGGTCATTTCTTTGGAGTATATCTATGCAGGTATTACTTTTCACCATGGCAACAACAACAACAATGAAAACAATATTACATCCCAGATTGAACCCATTCTTCCACTCATAGGAAACCAAGGATAAGTTACAAACTGTGTTTATTGATTGCACAGGTAGAGTTTGTACCTGTCTCGCTATAGCTGTGTGCTATTTTCTGTCCCCTTCAAATAAAAGTACAAATTTTGTTTGTTTCCCCACAGCAACAGCTAAGGAGAGACCCGGAGGAGTCCCAGAGAGGAAGAAGGTTTGTTTGTTGGTTTGCTTGTTGGTTTTTGTTTGAATGCACTTGGAACTAATTCTGAAAAATAGTTGGGTATGGGTTATGGATCTAATCAAGTATTCCTGTCCGTCCACAGACCACAGTCGGCCCTTCAACGCTCCACAGAGCTGGAGACACGGGTGCGACAACTCCAGGAGGAGCTCAGAAAGGTACCACTACACATTAAAATTCTGCCACATACAGGTGTGGTTAACTTTTCACTGGAAAGACTAAAATAAAAATTTTGGTCTTTCCAGTGAAATTTTGTTCTTTATTAAGATTTCAGCAAGACAAAACATATATGTTTGTTGCACACAGTGTGTTGCTGTTTTGGGGTAGCATTTCTCAGATAGTCAGCTTATGAAGAGGTACAGTTCCCATCTAGGTAATATCATACAGTACTCACGGAACCTTCTCCCCTCAGGAGCGTCAGGAGAAGGCAGCGCTGCAGGCGGAGAACGAGCAGCTGCGGCAGGACAACGTGCGGCTGCAGGAGGAGTCCCAGACAGCTGCTGCACAGCTGCGCAAGTTCACCGAATGGTTCTTCAACACCATTGACAGGCAATAACTACAGCACTGGATGGTGACAAACATAGGCTGACAAATCCTGCTGACTTCACAAAACAATGACCATTGTAGTCCAGCTGTACGTGTGGCTTATTGAAACACAACTCAAGGCCATTAAGGTGCTTCAGACAACTGTCAACTTTCTACTGTGGAAAGGTCCCAGGCTCTCTGTCAGAGGAAGAATTGCACATCAACTCTACAATCAGCAACAACTCAACAACCCAATCACTGTGTAGGACTCCAAAATCCAACTCTGGATCATACAACTAGTTTGAAGCAGGTTGACCAGATTGGAATGAAAACAATTCCAGCTGTAGATCATACAAGACATATTTTGTAGAAAATGTTAGACAACAGTGTGGAAGTTTTTCAAAATTATTTGTGGTCAGTTTAGTAATAAAGGGCCATGAAATACAAACATTAGATACATGTAATCCAGTCTTGTCTGTGTACAATGTTTTCATGACAAACTGTAATGTGTTTTAGACTGGAAGAGACTGGAGGATTTTGTTAGTTGATGAATTTTGCATAATGTCAGCAAACGTATGGTTTCCGTAGTCATGTCAACAGGACATTTGGATGGAATAGTTGAAGTAACAATTGTAAATGATCACACCATGTTGAAGTGAGTATTTTTCAGTGTAAGGTTATGAAATGGCTCTGAAATGCTCTCATTTTTAGATCAACTGATAGATCCTATTGTTGGAAATAAGCAGTCACCAGGCAGTTTGGTAACAGTCCTTGACCACATTACTTGCTCCCTCTGTATCCCTGCCCCTATAGAAACCAACAGAATTCTACCATAAAGTTCTTCCTATTCCATAGTATAGTGTATGTCTGACACAGTATCTACTGGTTCAACCATTGATAGATATGCATGGTGAGTTACTAGTCTGTTCTTGTGTTGTGCCGTTCTGTCCGTAAAGTTCATGTAGGATGTGAGGAAGTGGGCATCAGCCTGGCCATGTGGACATACTTGCCATTCGGAACAGTCCCACAGAGTATTCTAACTCTACTCTTACTAGTTAGAATGTAGTTAGTATCCCTATGCAACTTGGTGAGTAGTCTTAGATAGTTTATCTTATACTCTGAGGTCAATCTTTAGGGATTAAAAAACTTAATCCTCATCAGAACTCACCAACTTTTTTTTCAAAGACAAGTTCTTGACAATCTGCACCCAAGGTCAGTGTGTTCAAGTATAGTCTACTATACACAATAGCTGATGTATCTCCTAATCATGGTCTTCTTCTTTTGATCTTCTTCTTTTAGCAAGACTCAGCTTATGAAATATTGACCATACAGCTTGTAAGTAAGAAAGATGGTGAGTGTACAGGTATACCCAAGTGAGCTCTGATGGTAAACCATAGCGACAGAGAAAACTTCTTGATTCCTGTGTAAGATACCCAGCTGTGTAACATACCTTTTTGTTGCAGTTTTTGTCAGTGTCTGAGTGCTTATGTATTTTAATTCAACAATGGTTGTAATTAATTGATTTGTACCATTTTTCTCCTTGAAATGATGAGGAATGTAATGATAGTGAATGTTAACTTGATAGATAGGCTAGACTACAGGTGAAATGGGTATTGTTAACATTGATAATTGTATATTTTGTTTGTTGAGGATATAGTTTGCTCAATGAGCATTATGTTTTAAATATTTTATACAGCATTTTGTTGTAGAGGACTTTTTAAAAATGTTTGGGTTGATTTAGTTATGTATTTCTTGGTCTGACTGAACCAGAGAACAGAGAAGGAATAGAGACACCATCTCAGCAACTAATACATACAATCAGTGTTGAGCTGAAATTAATTTTCTACGTATATTGTTCATAAAGGAAAATCAATCAGTGGCTGGGAACTAATTGGAGAAAATCATGTTTGTATTAGAGACAGTACAATCTCAGTAACGTGTATAGAATTGTGTGTGGAATCTAAACAAAAGTATTGTGTATAGGCCCAACCCTAACCAATTTCTTGTTGTCAATATTGTTTACTAATACCAATTATTTTTATTTACGGGGGGGGTGTGGTACCAGCAGCCTTGTGGCCTCAGCCTGACCTAAATCACAGTGTGTACATAAGAGTCCCACAGTAGGTAGTTTGTACATAAATTTGTACATGTATTTGTATTGTATGGGTAACAAGTGAAGATAACAGCCCATGATTTGTACAGAATTGTGTCCACTCCCCCGATGTGTCAGGGGGTAGACTGGGGAATAAAGCTTTCCACACAGTACAGACGGGTCTGCTCGTATTTTGTCTCCACATTGACAGAATATTTCTGGAAATGTGCAGGAGAGTATTTGGATGCCCGTTATGGTATATTACCTTATGAAATAGACTGAATTCTGTACTCACTCCCATAGAGTTTGGTGAAGGTTGCATTTAATATTTGATAACGTCTATACAAAAAGTTTTAATATGCTCCTGATTTATGAAAGCTGTCTTGGACAGGCAAAGAATACAAAAGAAGAGGGTTGACTGAATGCATATTACACTAGTAGCCAGGTTATCTATAAACACAACTTACAGAAATGCTAAGTCCAATAATAAAAAGCTGTGACAGGTTGATCTTCAAACATCCGAAAAGTGCATAATAGCCTGCTTTTGTACATATGAACATTGAAACTCAAACTTGCATAACTAATGCACAGATTTTGTCCTCTACAATTACTCTCGTTATCTGTTACTAACGTTTACTACAAGGAGCAATATGAACTACATATTTACTCAATGTGTAAATTCTACAGAAATTCATGTTTAAGCTCTTAGCCCTTATTTGCTTTTCATTATTACTCTTTCGAAATTATAAAGTATATAGAAGAATACATGAAAGGATGTTTACATATAAACTTATAGAAATGTACAAATGTTTGGGACATATTTATGGCAGAGGACCCATGTTCGACCAAATTCACAGCGTTGACGACAATACTAGTACTAGTACACGCCAACGTCCTCTAGCGATCGGCTGGCTTACTGCACTACGCAGACATTGCTTTTGTTGTTCTGCAGTGAGGAGGGAAGGTTTGTCTTTCTGTGGGACTGGAGACGATCCATAACCTGAAACACGACAGAGATGGTATGGATGAAGGCCCAATTTTTCTATTGTGATTATTTCAGGAGATTGGATCGCTCATGGGCAGTGTGGAAAAAAGATGTTTTGCAGATATCTGTGGTGGATACTTTTTAAAGTTGGAGATTCTAAAACAAAACGCAACATTGGTGCACGTATTGATGACGTCAAACTCCCCAAAAATGACCCTGCGTATTTTGATAGTTAAACTTAAAGTGAAATATCCTGGTTTTCGAAGGACATTGAAACTGTGGAACTTGGTTCCAACACTCAAATTAATCTGAAATGTATCTAGGAGAGGACATTTTCCATGAATTCCCATTTTGCCTCGGCTTTCTTAGTTACATGTGCAAGCCTGCCCGACGCTCACGAAGCAAATACCCATCACTCACCGCCAGGCATTCCAAGAAATCCAAGTTGCCCGTCTCGTCCGAGTCCACCTCCTTCATGATGCTTTTGACTTGGTCCTTGGTGAACATCGTGTTTTCCGTGTCCAGGATCTTCTCAAGCTCGTCCTCGTCGATTGTCTGAAAAATAAAGTAGGGTCAAAATCGTGAAAGGGAGAAAAAAGTAGCGGACTTTTTTCTACAAGTTTCGTGTGTCTCGTACTCACCCCGTTCCCGTCCTCGTCTGCCGCTACGAACTTCTTCTCTGCGTCTAGGATGGTGGAAAGTTTCATGTTGGGGAACTTCTCAGCGATTTCCTGGGACAGAATGAATGATAAGTCAGACAACTGATCCCCGTTAATTTTTTTTTTTCAAATTCTACATATCAAGTTTTTAACAAGTACGTTCTCTTTGAACTCTCTGGCATAATTGAGTACAGGAATGTACCAACTTGTCCTGCATTATCTAACACTTAGATTAGTTTTACAGTCGTTGATACAAACACCGTTCTTGTCTGTAACGTTAAACTGTTACGACAAACACTATGCAAAGACCAACCGTGTAGTATCTGTAGGTGTCCTGCTCGTCTTCCTCCTCCTCCTCCTTCTCTTCCTTACCCTTGTCCTTTGCGGCCTTCTTCTTCCTGCGCTTCTTCGGGTGTCTTCGCTTCTTGGGAAGATCATTGGCAGCGCTGTGGTTCACCTGGGCAGCAAACGAAGTTACAGTTTCTTGTTAATGTTTACCCTATGCTCATAGTTATATTTTTGGGACAGACTGTCAAAGGAAAGAAAACCCTAACTGGGCAGTTTCATTCAAGAATGTGTTTCGCGCTACTTTACTGTCCTTCTTTTGTTCAAGCAGCACAATTAAGCGACATTTTCTTATCTTTATCTCCAATGAAATTGAATACTTAAAAGATGCTGGCGCATCACTTATTCTCTGAAACACCCGTAAGAACATCTTTCCGCACACAGCCCAGTGGATTTTCCTAATCATTTACGTGGCTTTTTGTTTACCGTGTGTTCAATCATAAACATCGCCATCACCCGGCAGTTGGGTCGACTTGGGTTGCATCGCGTTCCGCCCCATTTAAGGCAAATTTGTCAGTCTTGGAAAGAACAGGACAAAGTTACAGGAACTCATGTGCATTTAGAGTATATAACTATATTTTCCCTTGCTTTTGCCTACTTTTAAAAATGTTTCAAGGATATTTCGGTCCGATACTGCGGATTGACCTTTCAGCAACAAACAACGCGAAGTGCCTCAGGCCATGAACATAGGCTGCCGCCATGGTGATGCCAAAATATTGACAGGGCTGTTAGCAGACCACCGAAGAGACTTATTTATGATAGAAGATCTTTATAGCCTCAGCCCCAGGCCTGATAGAAAAGTTCATCAGCGAGGAAACTGGAAAGCCCTTCATCTGCCCTGTCACTGTTCTTGGTAGAAGCAGGCTTCTTGACTCGCCACAATGGGACATTCGTCGAAAGCATGATCACAGATTCACGTACAATGACAGTCATGTTATTGTGATATTAGTGTACTGTGTTTGGATAGAAATAAAACATATCTTTATAGAACACATCGAGAGTCATTAAAACTGATTTTAAAGACTTGTGTGTGACATCATCTTTCTTTATCTGAACAGACCAAAATGGACAGCCTTTACATCCAACTTGGTCAATTCACCTGTTTTTCCCTTTAGGTCATGTAAATAAGCGAGCAGTAAAGAATGCGCTGTGGAGCCATCCCAAAACACCGAAGTGTCCTCATGCTGTATGGGAAGAACTGTAAGCTGGCACAGTTTGTTTCGTCTTGTTGGAGTACATAAGGCAAAACGTAATACCCTCCGGGTGGCACGATAACAAAGGCGATGTTTTTTTACCGCCAACTAGGGGGATTTAATGCGTCAACTCCGGTTATTTCCGCGTAAAGAGTTTATGTATCGCATTAACCGCCCTCGAACCGCACAAAACGTAGCCTGTATCTTAGACATAGGTAGAGACCACCAGGGATGCCGCACAGCTTATTTCGTAAATGCGAGCACAACCATCCGGAACAACCTCTCCTGGAGCACGAAACTAGTTACTGAACTAGAGCGGACCCAACTGTTTATCGCCCATAAACGTGGCCATGGCGACAGTTGAGGGTGCTTATGAGGTACAATCCTCAGGATTTGATTTAAGTCTGGGCGTGTCCATACATGTCAGTCTGTCTGATTACAGGTTGTTCATGGTTGTTATAGAGAACTGGAGAAGGGAGTTGGAAGTGCAGACTTATGTCAAGTGTCATCGACGCGCTTTTCTAGTAGCAAAGTTTAGGACAGTCAGTCTTTTTCAGCCATGTTTTCTTATCCACACCTGCACTGGAAGGGATGTGGAGAACAACATATGGGAAACTTATGAATGTAAATTCAAATTCAGCGGACATAATCACGGCTGGTACATTCTGGACTTCGATTCAAGGTCGGGTCCAGCAGATACTAGTAACCTTTATTTATTTGTTTGTTTGTTTATTTGTTTATTTAACCAGAGAACATATCGCCCTGGAGGGCGGTTTTCAATGCACCCTGGGGGCAGTCCCCAAACACAATAAAATGTTAACAATACAAC